TGGTCCCTTGGGGGCTTGTCAGTAAAGGGAACGTGGCTGGCCACTGAGGGGATCCCTGGGGAGCTCTCTGCCTCTGCGAGGCCTTCAGCAGAGGGAGCCAGCTGGGGCTGCTCCATGTCCCTCTGCCCTCTCCAGGGCTCGGCGCTGCAGACAGGCCTCTCCCGGCAGCCCTCCTCCCTCCTGGTAATCACATGTTTGCTTGTACAACACTCATCTCCTCAGTCTCCGGGCTCCATGAGGGAAGGACGTGCCATTTCACTCCACTCCATCCCCGTGCATCCAGCTGGCACTTAATAGTGATGTGAATGGAGTGGATGGTTTTTGCCATCACGGAGGCCCCTCATTCAAGCTTTTATAAAGTGTCATCAAAGCAGTATGTGCACATGCTTGTGAAAGCCACCAGGCTGGGCACAGTGGCTCACACCTGTAATCCTAGCACTTTGGGAGGCCAAGGCAGGTGGATTGCTCAAGCTCAGGAGCTTGAGATGAGCCCAAGGAAGAGTGAGACCTCGTCTCTACTGAAATAGAAAAACTAGCCAGGAGTTGTGCCAGGTGCCTGTAGTCTCAGCTACTTGGGAAGCTAAGGCAGGAGGATCGCTTGAGCCCAGGAGTTTGAGATTGCTGTGAGGTATGATGCCACAGCACTCTGCCCAGGGTGACAGTGAGACTCTGCTCCCCCCACCCCCTTGAAGAAAGAACTGCACCAGCGCAGACTCTGTACTGGAAAGGTAGATGAGAATAAACTGCCGGCCTCTGCTGGCTCTTCTCCCGCCCCCACCACTCTTTTACTCATAAGGTTATTTCTGACTCTTTCCTCGGTGGCACGTGCCACCTTGTCACACTCTTTCTCCTCCTCCTCATCCTCTTCCACCCGTGAACTCTCCATGTCATCCCGCTCCGTGGGCCAGGCCCTGCCCTTTCTGCCTCTTATCCCAGCCCCCCGCCCTCACCTCCTGACTTCTGTTGCCTTTTCCTTGTCAGGATTCATAACATTTACACTGTTTGTGTCATCGGTGAATCTTAAGTGTTTTTGAAGGGGGAGGGGAAGTTAACTCTAAAATGTGAAAAAAAAAGAATGTGGTATCAACCCAAGTGCCCCTCAGTTCATGATTGGATAAAGAAAATGTGTTATGCACTGAGAGTGTATACGCCGTGTACCATGGAGTGCTGCTCAGCCACACTGAATTCCATCCACTTGGATGGAATTGGAGACTACCATGTTTCCCTGAAAATAAGACACTGTCTTATATTTATCTTTTCTCAAGAAGACACACTAGGGCTTATTTTCAGGGGATGTCTTATTTTTATTAAGTATAATACAAGAATCTACATTTCTTCAAATACAGTTAAGTCATCTTCTGGAACCTGACCGGGGGAGCCAACCTTGTTGGTGGGACTGGCGCTAGTGATGCGTGAACTCCTTTCCCCTAGCCGTTCGCACGTGCGCAATAGGATGCCTGTGACGGCGGTTACCACACGTGCACCCGCCCAAGTGCCAATGGCTGGGAGAAAGGAGCTGTGGCAGATAAAAGGTATTCCAGTCTTCCTTACCTCTCCGTGCAGAAATACATGTATAGCCACACCCATCACTAGGTCTTATTATGGGGTGGGGCTTATATTTAACAAACGCATAGAAATCCTGCTAGGGCTTATTTTTTGGGTAGGTCTTATTTTCTTTTTTTTTTTTTTTTTT